CTAATCCATAATAGCCCCTTTAATTTTGTCTTGTTAGGACAAACCCTGTTAAATCCAAATATAATATGTGCACACATAATTCGAAACAGGAAAACAGAAACATTTCATTAAATAAATTAAGTGTCAAATACATAATCATAACTCATCAAATCATGGATTGCTCAAAAGACCCATTCTAATAACATGTTCCTCATATGTCTTTATAGGCAATCCCTTGGTTAATGGATCAGCAACTATAAGAGTTGTACTTAAATTTTCTATTGACACTTGTTGTTTCTGGACTCTTTCTTTAACAACCAAGTACTTAAGATCCATGTGCTTGGATCAACTTGAATACTTTCCATTCTTAGAGAAGAAAACGGCTGCGGTGTTATCACAATATATCTTCAAAGGCTTAGCAATTGAGTCAACAGCCTTAAGCCCTAAGATAAAATTTCGCAACCAGAGTGCATGACTAGAGGCCTCAAAACATGCTACAAACTCAGCCTCCATTGTGGAAGAAGCAATAATACTTTGCTTTACGCTATTCCAAGAGATTGCTCCACCAGCTAGTAGAAATACAAAGCCCGATGTGGACTTTCTACTATCTACACAACCACCAAAATCGGAGTCTGAATAACCAATAACCTCTAATTGATCCGATCTCCTATAAGTAAGCATGTAATCCTTTGTTCCTTGAAGATACCTCATAACCTTCTTTGCTGCTTTCCAATGATCTATTCCCGGATTACTTTGATATCTACCAATTACTCCCACTACATAACTAATATCTGGTCTAGTACAAGTCTGTGCATACATCAAACTTCCAACAGCTGATGCATATGGAATCAATTTCATTTTATCCTTTTCCAAATCATTCTTTGGACATTGCTTTTCATTTAATTTATCACCTTTCGTGATAGGAGCATTAATGGCTGAACAAAAATGCATATTAAATCTTTCAAGAACTCGATTGATATATCCTTTCTGAGACAAGCCTAACAATTCTCGAGATCGATCTCTAAAGATCTCTATCCCAATAACATAATTTGCCTCACCCATATCAACCATCTTAAAATTCTTTGAAAGATAATTCCTAGTTTCGTGAAGCAAACCAAGATCACTACTTGCTAGTAAAATATCATCCACATACAAGACTAAAAAGATAAACTTGCTCCCACTGACCTTTAGATATATACACTGATCAACAATGTTTTCCTTAAATCCAAAGGAAGTAATGCTATCATTGAATTTTATATACCATTGTCTAGAAGCTTGTTTAAGTCCATATATGGATTTCTTTAATTTACAAGCCAAGTGTTCCTTTCCTTGTTTTGCAAATCCTTCAGGCTGGTCCATATAGATATCTTCATCTAAATCCCCATTCAGAAAAGCGGTTTTCACGTCCATTTGGTGCAACTCCAAATCATAATGAGCTACAAGAGCCATAACGATTCTACGAGAGTCTTTCTTAGATACTGGAGAGAAAGTTTCTCTATAATCAATGCCTTCCCTTTGAGTGAAACCTTTGGCCACTAGTCTAACTTTAAATCTTTCGATATTGCCTTTAGAGTCACGTTTGGTCTTGAAGACACAACTACAAACGACTTTCTTACTGTTCTTAGGCAATTCGACAAGATCCCAGACACCGTTATAGTCCATTGATTTCAACTCTTCATTCATAGCATCAATCCATTTACTAGAATCTTTACTTTTCATGGCTTGTGAATATGAAACTGGATCATTTTGAATACCAATCTCAAAATCAGATTCTTGTAGATACACCACATAGTCATCGGATATGGCAGATTTTCTTTCCCTTTGAGATTTCCTCAAAGCTACCAGTTGTGGTGATTCTACAGTATTGCCAATGATGACATCTTCATGGAGTGGCGAATCAATTGTTTCAACCTGCTGTATAGGTTGAAGATTAACTTTATCTTGAGGGAAATAAGATGGTAAAATATCCACCCTAATTTCCTCAAGTTCTACCTTTCTTGATTCAACACTCCCACTAACTTCACCATTCTCTAAGAATTTGGCGTTTCCAGTTTCAACTATCCTCGTAGTATGGTTAGGACAATAAAATCTGTACCCTTTTGACTTTAGTGGATAACCAATAAATTATCCAGAAATTGTTCTAGGGTCCAATTTCTTTTCATTTGGATTGTATATTCTAGCCTCTGCTGGACAACCCCAAACATGTAAATGTCTTAAACTAGGTTTCCTACCAGTCCACAACTCGTAAGGAGTTGTTGGGACTGCCTTACTAGGAACCCGGTTTAAGATATACATAGCGGTTTTCAAGGCTTCATTTCAAAGTGAAATGGGTACAGTTGAATTACTTAACATACTCCTAACCATATCCATGAGAGTACGATTACGACGTTCAGCAACTCCATTCTGCTGTGGTGTTCCAGGCATTGTGTATTGAGCACAAATACCACGCTTTTCTAAGAATTTAGCAAATGGGTCAGGATTTTGTCCCGACTCATCATATCTACCATAGTATTCCCCACCCAATCTGATCGTATAACTTTAATTTTTCTATCTAATTGTCTTTCGACTTCCATAACAAACACCTCAAGCATGTCAACGGCTTGAGATTTTTCATGAATTAGATAGAGATAACCATAACGAGATAGATCATCAATAAAGGTGATAAAATACTTTTCTCCACTAAAACATAGAATAGGTAGTGAGCAGATATCTGTATGGATTAACTCAAGAAGCTCTTTACTTCTTGTGGCACCTCTTTTATTGTGTCTGGTTTGCTTACCCTTAATGCAATCCACACACACTTGAAAATCAGTAAAATCTAGATTTTTCAAAATTCCAGTTTTTACCAATCCTTCGATTCTTTCCTTGGAGATATGCCCCAATCGTTTATGCCACAAGATAGAAGAATTTTCGTTATTTAGGCTTCGCTTTACGCCAACTTCCGAATGAGTGGTTAATAATGATTGTTCAAACTCATGATTCAAAGATATTTTATATAAACTATCACATAAAATACCGGAACCAATTATTATTGAATTAAACATAAAACTGAGTTTTCCACAACCAATTAAAGCTGAATAACCACAAACATCCAGTTTTGACAAAGAAACCAAATTCCTAGAAAACGAAGGTGCATAAAAAGTGTTTTCAAGATCCATCTTGTGACCCGTCTCTAATATGAGGCGATAAGTGCCAACAAACGCCACTTTAGATTTGAGACGGTTCCCCATACAGATGTACTTTTCACTTTCCTCCGGTTTCCGAGTTGTAAGGAATCCCTGTAATGAATTTGTGATATGAGTTGTAGCACCAGAATCAAGCCACCAAGTGTAAGAAGGAACTTCAATAAGATTTGATTCATAACATACAAAAGAAAGATGAATACCTTTCTTTTCGAACCAAGCCTTTCGTTTCTCACAATCCTTCTTTACGTGTCCCTTCTTGTTACAAAAGTAACAGGTGACAACAAAAGCCTTTCCATGACCCTGACTACTTTCACCAGGTTCATATCTTTTGTTTGGTGCGAATTTCTTTCCACTCTTCACAAATTTCCCTTTCTTCTTCATACTTCCATGAGTTACAACCAGTGCAAAGTGATTTCCTTCCTGCTTTAACCTCACTTCCTCTTGAATATACATACTGGTCAGCTCATTTAAATTCCACTTATCTTTTTGAGTATTATAATGGATTTTGAATGGGCCGAACTTTGATGGAAGTGAGTTAAGGATAAATTGCACAAGGAAGGACTCTTCCACTTTCACGCCAAGAGCTCCAAGTTTGGCAGCCTTATCAGTCATATTCAGGATGTGTTCCTGAATTCCCTTATCACCACCATATTTCATGGTAGTCAATTCAGCCATGAGTGTCCCTGCTAACGACTTGTCCGCTGATTTAAAGCGTTCTTTAATAGCCGTTAACAGTTCCATAGCATTGTCAACCTCGGGAAGGGAAGTCTTAATGTTATTAGCAACGGTCATTCTAATAAGCATAAGACTCAGCCTATTGGACTTGGTCCATGCTTCAATTAGGCTAACTTCTTCCTCACTGTTAGCATCCGTTATTTCCCCACGTTTTTCAGTAAGCAATGCTAGGTCCAAATCCATAACACCCAAGGTGAATTGAATTTGTTCATACCATTCGGAGAAATTTGACCCACTCAGAGTCTTAATACCAGAAGCATGCGAGTACAATGAAGTAGGAATAGCAACTGAAATAAATATAGCAAATATAATAAGGTAAAGATAAAGGATGCTCACATAAGACCTTGAGTCAAATAAGATGAACTATCGATATCACTACAAGTTCGCCTTTGGGTGAAATACAGCATACCTATTGTTCACTCTATGTTGGTGTAAATGATCTTTTATAATACCTAAGTAGGGTCTAACATAATTTATCTTACTCGTCAACTAGTCATGTTTCCTTTAGGTAAACAATTCTAATTGCTAAGTAATACAAATTATGATACCCTACCCAGTTCATAATTAATTAAAATCGACTATCCTTTGAGCTAGTCTCAATTTCTTAATTATGACTGCAATTTGAGAATATTATAATCTTTAATATCATATAAATGATTAAACTTTTATATAGTTCTTATATTTATTAGATTTTACTAATCTAGGTCACTTTAACGACTACAAGATTAGTAAATTTCATAAATATAAAACTAATAATATTCTCGTTATTATATACACAAATACGTATTTAATCACACACATATTGCATGATGTACTATATTAAACCCATCAAAAACATACAAAATGGGTACTGACATATTGTATCACGCATTTAAATATACAAAATTTCATGCATTCTAATATTATGTACTATATAATCATATATGGCGACTAATAAAATTTCAGAGTTGTGTATATTCTATTATTTCATGTGTACAGATGAATTATGAGTTGAATATCACGTGTGTGTGTGTCAAATCACACACACATACATTACGCTGTACACAGGACACAGTACACAGGACACATTAAAATCAACATCTACGCAGCTTTGCCGAAAGGATGGTCTATTACTCAGTGGCTATGGTCGCAAGTGATTGGCGAGGTGGATGTTGCAGATGGGTGGTTCGTCGATTTCCGGGGCAACCACAGCCGGTCGAATGCGAGGCGCATGCAATTTTTGAGGCAATTTCTTGGGCAAGGACCATTGGCTGGACCTCGATAATTATCGAAGGAGATTGCTTGCAGGTTATTTCTTCCCTCAAAGAAGGCGAGTCATCACTGTCGTCGTTCGGAGCTTATATCGATGAATGTTTGGCTATAGCAGGTTCCTTTGTATTTTGCAATTTCTCGTTTGTTAAGCGTAGTGGAAACCAATTGGCGCATATGTTCGCCACGAATATTAATTTAAGCTGTAGTGATGGAACTCATATTCCTCATAATTTGGCTATTAATGCCTAATGGAATTTTCCTTTCCCTCAAAAAAAAAGACACAGTACACAGTACACACACATATATATTATATATAAATTCAATCAACAATCAACATATACCAATATTTTATTATTATCAAAACATCAACCACAATCATTATTCACCAAAATACGGAACAAGAAAATTGACAATAATCAGTCTCAATTTATTATGCATAGAACGACTGTAGCAAAATATTAATTTCGACTCAAAATTCAGTTTCACACAATCATAAAGCCATATAATAAATTATAAGTTCTAAGATGAATCGATTTCAAAACCCTGCTTTGAGACCAATTGAAAAACTTTTATTTAATTTTATGCGGAAAATCTTAATCACAGAATCTTGAAATCAAATTCATCTTAAGAATAAAATCAAATTTTACCATCTTAAGTATTTCTGTAATTGATGGAATTCTCAATTTGTGTATGATCGTTGAGGAGAAGAGCTGTGGATTTTTTTTATAGACGAGAGAAGAGGATCACGATTGATTTGTAACGGCAGAAGACAAATCCCACCCATCATGGTCTTTTATTGCCTTCAACGTTGCAAATCAATTACCATAAAATCACCTTAATACCATAATTGAATTAACCACAATTTAATTAATTAAAATAAAGATTAGTGGACCAAAAAATAAAACGTGAAAAAAACGTAAAACTAACACTCGAGGCTATGGTTTCGAAATTCCAAGAAGATACTGAAAGAATTTATGGTTCCGAATTCGTTTAATACAGAGGTGTTATCTTAAGTGTTATGACACTTGAATAAACATGCAGCGGAAATATAAAGACAATACTCAGATCTAAAAATGTTCACAGTAAAACTTGTGAACTTGCCCTTTACAGGACGGAAAAATTATATTAAAAACAGTATTCCACGAATACAAAGAGAAGATGTACGAAAACTTCTTCCTTATGAATGAATCATTCTCATGATCATTCTTACATTCAAATCTAGAAACAAAAAGAGAAATATTTAAAATTCTAGATTTCAAAGAATGTACTCGTGAGGAGTACCTAAAGAACTTCTTTCTTATGAATGAATCACTATCTTGATTATTCTTACAACCAAGTCTAGAAACATATATACTAAACAATCTAGACTACGAAGAATGTACTTATGAGAAGTACGTAAAGAATGTACTTATGAGAAATACGTAAAGATTGTACTCATGGGGAGTACAACCAACCGATTCTAAAAACACACTAAAACACTCATGTATTCTTTTCAGCTCTCGGTGTTTATTTCTTGGAATCGATCAACTTTCTTGAGTATTGAATTCGGTATTTATAGACATTCCAAGCTTCCACTCCTCAGCCCATGATCTGCAAGAAAACCAACTACAAGAGCACTCAAGAACATGGGTTAGTGGGTTCGTTTAGTAGTTAAAATAATATCCACATTTTAACCCACTAAGCACTACTTAGCCCACTAAGTATTATACTTAGCCCACTAAGCACTATACTTAACCCACTAAGCACTACTTATTCCATAACTAAAATTTAGTTAGAAAAAAGAAAGTTAAAAACACAATGTGGAAATAATCCACGTGTTTCACATACGAAGGGGCTCGACGAAAAAGCGTTCGAAGAAGAAAGTGAATCTCGAACCCTAAAAGATAAAATGTCGGGATTAGAGCTCGAAAAGGAGACGGTGATGCAACAGTACAAACAGTGCCTCGAAAAAGTATCGGAGTTGGAGAACAAAATCTCTATAATCGAAAATGAGGCCAGCCTTCTTAAGAAACGAGCCGAGAGAGCTGAAGCTGAAGTTTCTGAACTAAAAAGGGCGTTTGCTGATCTGAACAAGGAGAAAGAAGCTTCGGCCCTACAGTACAAGTGCTGCCTAGAAATTATGTCCAAGCTCGAGAAAGATATATCAAGCTTGAATGATAAAGTCTCGATTGGAAATGGAAGCTCAAGACTACCGAAGAGAAGTGTGCTCTGTTCGAGAAGTCGAATCAATCACTGCGAGTCGAAGCGGATAATCTTGTGAAAAAGATTGCTGCGAAAGATCAAGAACTCTCAAAAAAGCAGGGCGAATTGGAGAGTCTTGAAGTGCGTTTAAAGGACGAGCATTTACGTCACGAAAAAGTCGAAGCCACTCTCGAGACTCTGCAAAATTCGCACTCTAAATCTCGAGATGATCAAATGGCTCTGACGCTTGAGCTAAAAAATGTAGTTCAAAAGCTGAAAGAAACTGAAGCTAGCAAAAGTTGCTTGGAAGAAGAGATTCGGCATGTTAGAGATGAAAACGATAGTTTCAGCCAAACTAACTCTTCTATAGAGAGTATGCAGAATGAAATCTTTAGTTTGAGGGAGATTAAGGAAAGGCTCGAAAAGGAAGTTTCGCACCACATTGGGATAACTATTTCTCTTCAAAGGGAAATTTCGAATTTGAAAGAAGAAATCGAAGGGTTGAATAGGCACTATCGGGATTTAGTGGAGCAAGTGGAAGAAGCAGGTCTCGACCCCACGTGTGTGTTGATTTCGATTAAGTGCTTGCACGAGGAGAATTCGAAGCTGAGGCAACTATGCGAAAACGGCAGAAACGAGAAAGCAATCATGTCGAAGAAGCTAGAGAATATTGAGGACGCATTGTTGGAATCGGGCTAATGTATTTACGGAGAAAAAACTGCTCTAGTTGCTGAGAAAGCTTCTATTCTGTCTCAATTACAAGCCATGACCGAGAATATGCAGGGTTTAGTGGGAAGAAACGCCGTTTTGGAGAATTCACTATCCACCGCCGAAATCGAGCTCGAAGGTTTGGGGGAAAAATCGAAAGGGTTAGAGGAGATTTGCGAATTGTTCAAGAACGAAAGATCGTTTCTTTTGACCGAAAGGGGCAGTTTAGTTTCGAAGCTGGAAAATGTGGAGAGAAGGCTGCAGATTTTGGAGAAAAAAATTATGGGGTTGGAAGAAAAATACACTGATTTAGAGAAAGAGAAAGAAGCCATGCACGATCAAGTCGAAAAGCTCAAGGTTTCGTTGGATGAGGAAAATCAAGAACGGACAAGCTCTCATATTTTGAGCGAAACCCGATTGGCCAGGCTCGAAAATCAAATCAATCTACTTAAAGAACAGAACACGTGTAAGAAAAAGGAAACAGAGCAAGAACTCGATAAAGCTTTGAAAGCGCAGTTCGAAATATCCATATTGCATAAATTTATAAAGGGCAAATTACCAAAACCCCCCTGAGGTAAGCCTAAATAACAAAAACCTCCCCACGTTCTCGTAATTATGAAAACCCCCCTTGACTAACGGTTGACCGAATTTTTTTAACCGAAAACGTGAAATGTCTATTATATCCTTCTGTTAAATATATGAAAAATAAAAGAAAAAAAGCTGAAAATTCCAATAATTCCCGCCATCCTATATATATATATATATATATGGCAAATTACCAAAACCCCCTGAGGTAAGTCTGTTTAACGAAAATTTCCCCCACGTTCTCGGTGTTAAACTCGATAGAATCGCTCTAACGGTGTTACAAATCGCTCTAACGGTGTTAAACTCGATAGAATCTTTTTGATTCTCCCGAATATTTCCTTGATAATACCAATTTTGCCCCTTTAACTTTTACCCCTTTCGCCGGACGCTTCGATATCGAGGGTTCAACTTGGGGGCAACTATTTCAAATACTAACTTTTGCTTACTTGAATACTACCAAGTTTAAAACCAAAATTGAGTACATATTTATCAGTTTTTTCTTACTTTAATACCAAAATAAAAAGAAAATTACAAAAACACCCTTTTATACAAAAAATCAATTATATCAAATTTTATTAGAAATTACCTAATCAAAAACCAAATAAAAAAAAAAAAGAAAAAAATCCCTTTGTTGTAAAAAAAAAACCTCCAACCCTCTCCAACCCTCGCCGCCGCCGCCGCCGCCGCCGCCGCTGAACGCCGCCGCCGCTTCTTCGTCCATTGTTATCAACCCGCCGCCGCTTCTTCGTTCCGGTTTCATTCATCCAAGTAATAATTTTTTTCGAATTTTTTTTCTTTAATATTTACTTAGGATTTGATTGTTTGATATGGGTAATTAGGATTTGATTGTTTTAGGTAGAAATGATCGTTAATTAGTAATGGGTGCATCTAATTTCAGTCGATTTGAGCATTGATTTGAGATTCGTGGGTTGGTTCTTCGTTCACAATTTTCGACCTGTATATGTCGATTTTTGATGAATTTTCGACAGCTTGATGTCGAAAATTCATCAAAAATCGACATATAGTTGTCGAAAAATGTGAAAGCTTGAAATGGGATTTTTGATAATTCGACAGATAGCTGTCAAAATTTGGATGAGTTTTCGACAGCTAGCTGTCGAATATTCAACCAATTTTCGACAGCTACCTGTCAAATTAGAGCTGTGTAATTTTTTTTTTTTATTTTTTTTTTATTTTTTAATTTTTTTTTATATTTTCGACACTTAGGTGTCGAAAATTGTATCAAAATTCGACACTTAGGTGTCGAAACTTAATAAAATATGAATTGTTATGTTTTCGACACATACATGTCGAAAAATAAGGGTATTTTCGACCTGTATGTGTCGAAAATACATGGCGAGTTTTAAAAAAAACAAAAATTCAAAATCGATGTTTTAGCTCAAAAAATACATGAATACATACTTGAATGGGTTCTCCTTGCTCGTAAACTACCATTCTATTGTCATTTGACGCCATTTTGCAAGTTGTGTAAGGTTTTGATTTCTCTTGTTTTGAGGTTTTTTAGGAGGGTTTTTGGGGAGGGAGAAGAAGGAGGTGGAGGAGGTGAGGGGTTTGTGAGTGAGGAGGGGAAATGTTTTTTTTAGGTTTTTGATTATTTGGTATTTAAGAAAGAAAAATAGTATTTGTAATATTTTTTTGGTTTTAATTTTCATTAAGGGCATTAAAGTAATTTACAATTAATTATTTATTTTTTATTTTTTTGGTATTCAAGTAAGCAAAAGTTAGTATTTGAAATAGTTATCCCCTTTCAACTTTCAAGGATAGAAATTAGCAAATCACCATTTGAATCGAGGGTTTCAAGAATACAAATTAGCAAATCCCCATTTTAAAACATCAGAGTTAGAACGCAGCGATGACGGAGGATTATGGGCAGGCCTGGTCGATTTTTTTGATTGGGCGATAGCATAGCGCCGGACCATGGGCGACGACGACGGTAGAAGCTGCGTGCTCGATAAAATACTTCGGCATACGGGTAAATCTTAATTTTGATGTTCTTGTATTTAAAAAAAATGATAGATAACATAATTAGTCTGTGGAATTACTGGATTATGAATACATTGGGTATTAACAAAAAAATGATGATTTCTATTAGTTGGTTGTGCGATGAAAATAATGCCGGCGATTGAGGGTTGTCTACGAGTATTAATTGGTCATTTTTTGTAAATGTATTCTGATTTGTTACCAAGTAATAATTTCGGAATGAGTGTTCTTGGATCTTCTTATTGCAACAGACGTGTAAGTCATTGTTTCATTGAATAAGCTAATTTGCCAATTTTTGTTTATTTTGGTTTATTGTACTTCGAATGATTATATAATTTCTTGAATTTTGTAGTTGTAAATAAAGAATGATGTTGGTAGAACGACGAGAATGAGTCTGTTGTTGCCTGTTGGTGTTAACTCAATTTGAATAGTATAAGTTTTTTTGCATGGTGTCAACCCAATTTGGAAAAGTAATTACTTTATTCAGATTTAATGTTAAGCTTATTGGAAATGTAGCAGCATTTAGTACACTATATACTAACTATGCAGTACATGTAGAGGTGGTGGAAACTCTCCTGTTGTAGTTGTTCCACTGTTTGCTTTAGGAACGCAAAGTGGCACGATTGATGTGGACGGAATAATATTGATACAAGATGCATTTCTTGTTTGTTAGATTACGTTGTCAAATGCCAATAGCACCAAGAACTCATCACAAACTCTACACGGCTCATGCATAATCGTGGAAGGCAAGAGTATTTTTTCTTTCGATTGTGATAGATTACACATACTAAGTAGAAGGGAATAATTATAAATTATTTTTCCATATTCACGACATCTGCACATTGGAATTTACTGATTGTTAAATAAATTTCTTTGCTCACAGGGTCTCGTGTAAATTTTGTTCGAGTTCAAATTTGAGGCCTCAATGCAGCAGCCGTCTGATCGAAACCAGCTTTCTACATCGACAAGCTCGAGCACGTAAATGAGAAGGATATTTATCTTGAACATAGTTACAAAACAAAAAGTTTTTTTAACTTTGTATCGAATTGAAAAATTAGGTGGCTTTCTTAAATTTTAATGCAAAACTCATTCGAGTTTTCTTTCGGTCTATGTATTATATATTTTGACTATTGTGGAATCGTATGTGAATTTGGTGTTCTAAGAATTTTCTGTGAGAATTTATTGGAATTTTCTGCTTTTTGTTAGTTCTGTAGTAGATTTTCTATTGATTATCAAGAATTTTGAAGTTGAATGAAGTTTTGAAATATCGAATAACAAGTATTAAAAAATATTCGAATTTTCCCGCTAACACCGTTGGAGAAAGCCGGAGCTGTGGTGTGGTAATAAACCGCAGGTACGGCTCCAATATCTGTGGGGGTGTTTGTGTAAAACCCTTCAATGGGTCTAATTGATGAGGTTACGGGAGTGATTCTTGGGTCTTCGGGTAGATTTTTCACTATATTTAACGGGCGTAAATTTTTGGGCATTGAGGTCTCATCAAAGGCCATAACACTAATAATTTCTTTTTCAGCTTTTTTCTTTTATTTTCACGTTTTCGGTTAAAAAAAATTCGGTCAACCGTTAGTCAAGGGGGGTTTTCGTAATTATGAGAACGTGCGGGGATTTTCGTTATTTAGGCTTACCTCAGGGGGGTTTTGGTAATTTGCCCTTTATTTTTTACATATTTAACAGAAGGATATAATAGACATTTCACGTTTTCGGTTAAAAAAATTATGTCAACCGTTAGTCAAGGGGGGTTTTCGTAATTACGAGAACGTGAGGGGGATTTTCGTTATTTAGGCTTACCTCAGAGGGGTTTTGGTAATTTGCCATATATATATATATATATATATATATATATATATATATATATATATATATTTTATGTTCATCGTCTTCTTAATTAATTCTCCACCACCACAAAAGAAAAAAGAAAAAAAAATACTATCACGTCATCTCTGAAAATCATGACATGCATCAGCCCAAAGCGGCCAGCCCCGCCATTTCTCCGCCCTCTCACTTCTCTTTCTCCTCCCGATCTCAATTTCCAGCGGCGTTTACCCTTTCCTTTTGCCGCCGCCCAGTTATAATAATATTAATAATAATTCAAAATCAGTTCCTTCTCAATTTATTATCCAACTTATTTACCTCCTTTTCGCAGTCATCTTCGGCCTTTGCGGCGGCGCGTCCATCACCCACACCGCCATCCACGGTTTCTACGGCGAACCCGTAGAAATTACCTCCGCGCTCAAATCAATTCCGGTCTCGTTCCTCCCTCTTTTCGTGACCAAATTAGTCTACCTGATAATTCTATGGTTGATTTTTATCTGTTACGGGATTTTAATCGCGTTTGCGTACGGCGGGCTTCTTCTATTCCGTGTCCAATTGGACTACGGCGGTCCGAATTTCGTCGCCTTAGTAGTCGTGATGACCGTTCTTCTTATGGCGGCGACGATTTACATCCAAGTGGGGTGATGCTTGTCGACGGCGGTGGTGGTTGTGGAGTCGCGTTGGGGCTACGCGCCGCTGAAGAGGAGTTGGTATCTGGTTAGAGGGATGGGATGGGTCGTGTTCGGGACGATTATGCTACTGGCAGTTCCCTCTTAAAAGAACGTGGGGGGAATTTTCGTTATTCAGACTTACCTCAGGGGGGTTTTGGTAATTTGCCCATTTATAAAAGATATGGAAGAGAAGAACTACTCTCTCATTATTGAGTGTCAAAAACACGTCGAGGCATCGAAATTGGCGGAGAAATTGATATCCGAACTGGAGGGTGAAAGTCTTGAGCAGCAAGTTGAATCTGAGCTCCTATTGGATGAAATCGAGAGGCTGAGATTGGGAATATATCAAATTTTCAGGGGATTGGGAATTGCTCCTGAGGAAAAGGTTGTCGAAAACGAACAAAAACACCCCACATTTCCAAAACCCGAAAATCCTAAAACCCGAGACTAATATTTCTAACTCGAGAACCCTTAGGGAATATTATTACGTGATATTAATTATATGCATTACGTGAATTTAATTATGTTACTTATGTGAATAACTACGTGCGCCATTATGTGTGCGATTTATATGATTTAAATTTCCGTAGATTAAAATACTATGGAATTTCGTGAATTACGTGGTTTATGTGAATAATTTTGTATTTTATTTATTTGATAAATTATGTGGATCATATATATATATATATATATATATATATATATATATATATATATATATATGTCTGAAATTGTGTGTGTGTGTTCGGATGATGTGTGTGTGTGTTAAGATGCAAGTTGTGATTTAAATTAAATAAATAAATTATGTTTAATTAGGCATGCACTCACACTTGGCAAATACTAATCATTTTATCTAAGCCTACACTCAACACTCTCATTAGTGAGATGAAGAGACACCCTTCATCTCTCTTCTTCCAACACCTCAACCATCACTTGTCTTCCTCTTCTCCTTCCACCGAAGCCCTCATCACCATCATCGGCCTTCTCCTTCCTCCACCTCACTTCCCATTTTCAAAGAATTTCCAACATAAAAATGAGAGTTCCTTATTTAACTCTTGCCATAGACTACTCCAAAAATACCATCAAAACCACTTGCCTCCTTACGGGAGATCACAACTCCTCCCTCCTTGAAGCTCACACCATTTCTTTCACAATCAAGGTAGCTTGGTTGGACTTCGGTGCTTGAAAGCCTCTCTCCCCTTCGGCTATTTTTCTTTCTCCGATTTTAAGGTAAGAAATTCGATTTCTTGCTGCAATTAAGGGACATCAATAGTATTGAAATGATTTTCATAAAATTTTAAAAGATTGGGGAAATTTCGAAAATTTAGGGCTTTTTGAAGAAAAATGGAAAATAAGTGTTTCTTGTTGATTTCTTGTTATTGCATGCATCATCTAAGTTGATAGTGGTTAGATACAACTTTAATTGGTCAAAAACCTTAAAAATTTCAGATTTCAAAAAGGAGTTTTCAAGAAAAAAAAAATGGATTTTTAACTTTTTGTGGTTGCATGTGTAAATCTTCGAAATTTTTGGGCCGAATCTGTAAAGTCTGTCCGAAAAATGTTTTCAACACTGTTTTCCAGCATTTATTGAACAAAGATTTCGGATTTAAAGAATTTTTGTAAGAAAAAGTTGATTTTGAAATTCTAGTAGGCTTGCATGTGTAGATCTAGGGATTTTGGGGTAAAATGTGTAATTTCGAAAATTTCTGCATAAAGCAACTTTTCAACTTCATTTTCTGCATCTAGTAAAGTGGAATTTCAGATTTGTTAGGGGTTTTCATGAAAAAATGGAAATTGAACTTCTAGTGTGGTTGCATGTATAAATTTTGAAACTTTTGGGTCAAAACTGCAATTTCCGAAAAAAAATCTCTCATTTTTAAAGTTTGGATCTGTTTTTCAGCAAGTATTAGATAGGAAAAAGTTTTATTTAACAAGTTTTTAAATCAATTAGAGATATGTTAGAATTTTGGATTTTTAAATTGAAAAAGGGATTTTCCTAGTTTTTAATTTCAAGAAAATTCGAAACTTTGCAAAAATTTAAAATAATGTCAGAATCTGAAATTTTGATCAATTAGGAGTACTAGGATTTAATTCGAGAATTTTTGGAATTAAATTGCTATTATTTCGAATTTAGGATACTTGCATATCATTTACATATGTTTTGGTGCCTTAAGTGTTCATGTTTTGATTTGATAATTATGAACGATGAGTTTTGGTATTTTTGTATTTTAATTACTGTTGGATGTGTTTAATGGCTGTGGGAAATTGATTGAAATGGATTATTACCTAGATGTGGTAATAAGTCCATTAAAAGAAAGGTAAAAAGGTATTTGTTCTTAAGTTTGCTTTGATGAGTAATTAGTGATGTTTAATGTGTTGATTGTGCATGTGTGTGTGCTGAAAATGTGTGAATGTGCGGGTGCTGATTGTGCATGGTGTGTGTGCCGTGTGTGATTGTGTGTTTATGTGTGTGAATTTGGGATTTTGCCCAAATCATAAATATGTGGTAAATTGTGATATTTGTGTGATTTGTGGCACTTGATTGATATTTGTGATGTCATGTGTGGGTTATAGCATTATTTCGAAAAGTTGCATTAAATGATTTTTATTTGAAAGATTAATGGAATATCGGGTAATAAACAACTCGGATATAGTGGGCCGGTATCCAACTAGGATGATGTGGTAGTGGTTTGATTCCACTTAGTGAAAACGGGCTCGTAACAAGTTTATTATCCGGTACAGAAATTAATCTTTCACGGATCCGATAAACCGAAAAATGTGTTTTTCATGATTTTCACAAAAAGGGCATTTTAGTCATTTTGCATAATTACGTGATTTTTGCTAAATGATGTGTTTTCCTGAGGTATGTAATTTGGCTGATTGCCTTGTGTTGTTTTACGAAACGTGGGTAAGAACGGGTATACAATATCATATATTATATATAACGTATTTCCAAAGTTCGATAATACTCGGATTTCTTACTGAGCTTTATAGCTCATATAGATGTCTTTTAATTGCAGGTAGTAGTGCTAGTAATCCTCAACCGGGATGGATCGAGCAGTGGATCGAGGTCTTGCCCGGAGTTTTGGAAGACGTACGAGGACCTATGAACGATGCTAGACTTTTGGTTATTTTCTTTTGGTGGTGTAACCTTAAACCGTAACATTTTCTTTTAGTACTTTTGAACTCATTTTTGTTATGACTCGTACTTAATTCCTACTCTAATATAGTAAGTTTCGCAATTTACTATTTTCATGCCTTCGCTAGGAATTTTCAAATTATTCACCAAAATAACCTTTTCGAACTCTGATTTCTTCTCGAACCGAAAAATGATTAGTGAGAATGTAGCACTCGAATGAGAAACCTCCCCTCGAAACTTATTTCCAAACGAAGATTTTATTCGGCCAAAGTAACCCAACAAAGTTTTCTTTTGAAAATGCAAAGCCTTCAAATACCCATATTTTTAATAATTGCATTTTCGCCCCATCCCAATGTTTCAATAATTACAAATAGATCCTTTGCTTCCGCTAGTTTAATGTATATTCCGATAAACCGGTTCGATTTATCGCCCATCTAGAAGGGGGGTGCTACAAACTTTCTTGCATTGCATTCTTCAAAGTATTGAAGATATGAAATGTTCTCTTTCGGAATACGAGGATGAAAAGCAAGAGCTCTTGGTTGAAAACTCGGTTCTTTTAACTCTTCTCGAACAGTTGGAGTCAAAGGGCGTCGAAATCGAGACGCAGAAAATACACTTGGAGCAAGAGTCGAAACTCATGGCTGAGAAGCTTAGTGCTGTCGAACACGAAAAAAATGAATTTGTGGAAATAAATGGGAAATTGAAGTCGGATGCGAGTGAAGGTCGTGAAGAAGCTGTTGTACTCGAGGCTGAATTCGGGAGTCTTTGTGTGAAACAAGCTGATTTGCAGAAGGCGTATAATGCATTACAGGCAGTTTACTCTAAAGTGAATCAAGAAAATACGTATGTGTTGAAGAAGTTTTCGGATCTGAAAGATGAGATATACGAGTTAGATCGGTATAACGAGGATGCAATTCTTGAATTTTTATCATCTGCTAATGTATCTGAAGTCCAGTGTTTCGGGAGAGAGGAATCGAAGAAGTGAAATTACTTCTCGCAGATCTGAACCGACAAAATGAGGTCAATGTTAGCCTCGAAAAGGAAATGAGTGTGTTGATAGGAAAGCTTAAGTTGCAAAAGGCGGAAAATTTAGCCCTGAAAGATGCCGTTTTTAGCTTGGAAATCGAGATGGATGTGGTCAGAGAATGCAATGTTCGAATGAACCAGGATGTAATAAATGGTAAACACAGTTTGCTTCAAACACAAGCAAAGCTCTTCGATGCAGAAACGAAGCTCGAAGCTGCGGAAAAATCGAACTTAGCTTTGTGCACAACAATGGCCGAAATGAAGAAGGAAAACGAGAGCCTTAACTTAGCGAACAAGAATTTGGAGTCGGAAATTTGCTTATAAGAGACGATATATCACTCATCGAGCATAATGCACTGCTTCGCTCAAAGGTTAAAGAAGCTGACAATCGAGACACAGAGTTTCTAGAAGCTAGGGTTGATCATCCAGAAGATCAATCCCTTGCTAGTTTGCAGAAATTGCAGATGAGAGTTAAGGCAGTTGGAAAGTTGATCGAAGAGTCGAATAATAGCAAAAGACAAGAACCTGGTAGGAGTGAGAATGACAAGCTTAAGAACCACTGTCGTATTAGAGACAAGCACGAACATAGCAGCCGAAAAACAAAGATGCTGATGAAAGATATCCCTCTCGATATAGTTGTCTCGCACAGCTCAGAACTGAAGAGAGGCAGTGTTAGAATGGACGATCATTTGATGCTCGAGATGTGGGAAACTACTGACGTGGACGGGAAAAATCGGGACCAAACGACAGTCGGAGACTCGCGTAGAATTTCGTACAAGTTGAGGCAAAGGGATAAATCGCAGTGCAAATCCGACCCTCCGTCGACCGATTCGGATGTGGAGAAAGAGCTGAGTGTGGATAAGCTAGAGCTTTCGTCATCATCATCAAGAAGAATCAGTACTACTGATACGGGCCATTCTGACCTAGATGAACAAATATGAGTTAAGAAGAACCGACTCACTATTACAAGAAAGGATAGCGAATTGTGATCTCCGAATAACAACTTAAGACCTCGGCGGACCGTAGTTCGTAGCCGAATGTAAAAACGATCGAAGTCTAGTACCGAGCAGATGTGTGAAGCCTAAGCAGGCCCAAATAACAAAGGCCCAAAAAATGTGACTTGAGGGAGAAAAAACCCTAGAAAAGGAAACCTTGGAGGCCAAGGTTTCATCATCTATAAATAGGGGAAGCATTATCTATTCACATATATATATACACATCCACGTACTTATAGTTTTCATAATAACGACATCTTAAATCACATATCACTGACTTGATCGTCGGAGCTTTCCCGCCGGGATCTCCCCCCGGCGTTGCAGGTACCTCCGTCGAAGAACTCTCACGTGTCTTGGAAGAGAGGTATCTTCATCAGAAGACTCCCACGTGTCTTGGAAAAGAAGCAAGCCCCACGGACCAAATCAAGTGGCGCCATCTGTGGGAAAAGTTCCAAAATCTTGGGTACATAACTTCCGGGAAAATACTATATCTGCCCCAGAAGTCCAGATCTGAGTTATAAACATGGAGAAAAATAGAGCAAGGAGACACCATTATTCGAAACCTGCAAAAAGAACTAGACGCAGCAGCTCGCGACACTGCGGAGCCATCATCTGTTCGAAAAGACAAATCGGGGTGTAGCAGGGTCACCCCCACGAAGGGAGGCCAAACTCTCCCCTTCTCGGATAGTCCTTCTTTCGAATTTCAGAACGGTGAGACCGCTACAAGGAACCCAGCCCCAGCCCCCGCTCAACCTCCTAGCGAACGTATCTATACTCAAAACGAGGTGGAAGCTATGATCACTATGGCCATCAGGAACTATGCCCAGTCTTCACCACAAGAAAACAGGTCAGGAGAGACCTTAGGCGCCCCACGAACGAGGAACGAGCTGAGAATGAATACGATAGTTACTCGGAAAACAGAGAAGGTGACAGTCATGATGTCCGGACCGAAGTTGATAGTTTGAGGCGAGATATAAACAAACTGAAGGCTCTGCGAGGCGGTTTAACACGAACTCCCGAGGGCACTACCCCATTTGCCAAGCATCTCGATAATGACCCTATACCACTCAACTATCGACCTATTTTGTTTGAATATAACGGTGCGTCAGATCCGGCTGAACACTTGAGCCGATTCAACAACACAGCTTCCCTCCATCAACTTACCGAAGGGGTGAAGTGTCGCGCCTTCGTCACTACTCTAGCCGAACCGGCCCAAGCATGGTTCGGCCTACTGCCGCCTGGAAGTATACATTCCTTCGGGTAGTCTACCAAGGCCTTCATGAACCAGTTCGCTAGTTCAATGAAGTGTAAAAAAACCTCGCTGTCGTTGTTCAGCATTCGACAAATGGAGAAGGAGAGTCTCCGGAACTACATCAAACGCTTTACCTCGGCAACCCTAGAGGTCCCCACTACTAGTGACGAAGTCTTAATGGCCTCCCTCTCACAAGGGCTAAGGGACGACGAATTCTTTCGAGCCTTAGCACTAGAACCCTCTCCCGATTTCGACAACTTGCTGGGAAGGGCATCTAGGTTTATTAACCTAGAAGAGGCCCGACAGCAGAACATAGAAGAATCCCCTCAAGCCTTAGGGGTGAGGACCAATGAAACGAGGAAAGGTAAGGAGCCCGTCCCGCCACGAAGGGATACGTCGTCCGGTCGAAGTAATGCCCAAGACATTAAATGCCCCCGATATCAGTCATATCAGCCCCTCATAGCTCCTTTATCCAATGTTCTGTGTACAATTGAAAAGAGGAATGACTTACGCTGGCCTCGTTTCGCCCGTGAAGAACCCCGCCGAAGTCCAGCATTAGGCAACTTTTGTCGGTTCCATAATGAATATGGCCACACGACAGACGAATGTTCAGATTTAAAAGACAAGGTAGAACGTCTCATCAGAGATAACAAAATCGGGGATTTTGTAAAAATAGACCCTCCCCGAGGGCGGAAACGCGAGGCCCAGTTCGGAAACCCGGCTCGGGTTCCTCCTCCGCCCCCGATGCCAAAGCGAGGATACATTCAAATGATCTCGGGAGGACCCACGGGAGGAGACACCCATCGAGCTAGACGACGTCACTTCGGCGATATTAAAAACAATCATGAGATTTGCCAGATCTCTGCAATGGCGTGTCACAAATACCCCGCCATCTCGTTTGGACCAGAAGACGACGCAGACCTCGATGATTTCCATTGTGATCCTCTTCTCATCACAATTAATGTGGGCGGATATGATGTAGCTCGCGCCTTTGTCGACTCAAGGAGTTTTGTTGATGTCATATCTTATGAGTGTTTCCAGCAGATGGAGCTCGACCTCCCAATCTTCCCTGTCACTACCCCAATATTCGGGTTTACAGGAGGATCTTTGGCACCAGTTGGACAGGTCAAGATCCCCGTTACCATTGGGACGCCACCCCGCACGCGTACACAAATTGTCAATTTCGTAATCGTTTAAGGGTCCCCCACCTCGTATAACATCGTGATAGGACGGCCGATGATGCATATTTTCCGGACAGTCCCATCCACTATACACCAAAAAATCAAATTCCCATTGGATGGAGTAATAGGAGAAGTCAAAGGTGATCAAGCTCAATCGAGATCTTGTTACGTCGAGATGGTCAAAATGGCAGAAAAAGGGCGACGTGGCACTTTCACTAAAGAGGATCTGGGGGACGAGAAACGCCCCCGAATCGACCCCGAAGATAAGGTTGCCCATGTGCAACCCATGGACGAGCTAATGACGATCGACCTGATCCCTGGCACGACGAAGCGAACCCGGATAAGTAAAGACTTAGAGCCGTCTTTCCAAGATAGGCTAGTAGCACTATTGCGATCCAACACGGATGTTTTTGCGTGGTAACCGAGCGATTTAACTGGCATTGCACCCCACACTGCTGTGCACAGGCTTAACTTACGACCCGAATGTAAACCCATCAAACAGAAGCGGCGACACTTCGGGACCGAGAAGAATGAAATTATTAGACAAGACGTCCAGCGACTGTTAGACATTGGACACATCCGGGAGATTTAGTTCCCTACGTGGTTATCTAATGCAGTACTGGTCCAGAAGACCAATGGGCAATGGCGGATGTGCATTGATTTTCAAGACTTGAACAAAGCTTGCCCCAAAGACGACTATCCCTTACCTCGCATAGATCAACTCGTAGACGCCACCGCCGGATGCGAGCTACTCAGCATGATGGATGCCTGGCAAGGATACCATCAGATCCCGTTGGACAAGAGGGATCAACCCACAATCAGTTTTATTACAGCCACCGGCACCTATTGCTACGTAGTAATGCCTTTTGGTTTAAAAAATGCAGGAGCCACATACCAGAGATTGATGGATAAGATGTTCCGGGCTCAGCTCGGGCGTAATATAGAGGTCTACGTCGACGATATTCTAGTCATATGTAAAAAACGTTCAACACATCTTTCCGACTTAGCCGAAACATTTGCCACTCTTCGCCTTTATGGGATGAAGCTTAACCCTGAAAAATGCGGATTTGGAGTGAAGGCTGGGAAATTCCTCGGGTACGTGATCACTCAAGAGGGCCAAGGTGAATCAGGACAAAGTCGAGGCAGTACTCCGGATGACGCCTCTTCGGTCCATTAAGGAAGTACAGTCCCTAGCAGGGAAAGTGGTGGCCTTAGCTCGCTTCATATCGCGAATGGCCGATAAAAGCTTACCTTTCTTCAAAGTCCTAAGGAAGACGGCTCAATTCGAATGGTCCGAGGAATGTCAACTCGCCTTTGAGGCATTGAAGATATCACTATCTCGTTTACCCATTCTTAGCACTCCTGAAAGAAGTGAAACACTTTTCGTATACTTATCCGTGGGAGACGAGGCGATCAGCTCATTCTTGTTCAAAGAAGTGGATAGCCGGCAGATGCCGATCTATTACATTAGCAGAATCCTCACAAGCTCAGAAACTAAGTATTCAGAAGTCGAAAAAATCGCTTATGCATTAGTCCTCACCACGCGACGGCTTCGACCTTACTTTTTATCGCATACTATTGTAACTAGTACGAGCTTACCACTTCGCCAAACTCTAGGCCAACCTACGGCATCCGGGCGAATTGTCAAATGGGCTGTCGAGTTAGGACAATACGAGATCCAATATCAACCTCGTACTTCGGTAAAAGGACATGCATTGCTGGACTTCATCAGATAAACCACGAAAATACCCATGGAAAAGGAATGGAAAGTCTATGTGGACGGGTCATCTACGGCGACAGGAGCGGGTGCAGGAGTCATAATCATCGATCCAACGGGAGAAGAAGTCGAATTCGCTATTAAATTACCACGGGTTTCTAATAACGAGGCGGAATATGAGGCTGTCATCCGAGGCATGGAAATCGCTCAAGAGCTCGACGCCCGAGTAGTACAAGTCAACTCCGATTCCCAACTCGTGATACATCAGTTAGAGGGGGATTATGAGATTACAAATGATAGAATGCAAGGTTATGTCACAAAAGCAAAAGCTGTGCCAGAAACCTTCGAGGCTTGCACCGTCTGCCAGATCCCGAGAAACGACAACCAGCGAGCCGATTTCCTCGCTAAAATTGGGTCGTCGGTCATTGACTGTGTTGAGAGAAAGATATCTATCCTCATCGCCCCTACCCCAACCCCTGGAATCATGATGATCGACGAAGAAGAAGCCGATAGGCGGACGCCCCTGTTCACATACTTTCGAGGAGAACGAACTGGGAAGACCAGAGAGCAACATCGCTTAGCATACAAAGCTCGGCACTTCTATGTGCGACATGGGATATTATACAAAACAAGTTTCACCACGGTGGATGCGAGATGTCTGGGAAAAAGAGAAGTGGAGCACGTCCTCGATGAGGTGCACCGAGGAGGCTGCGGTGAACATGGAGGAGCCGGAGCACTCATACAAAAATTATATCGGGCCGGATACTACTGGCCCGGCATGAAGAAAGACACCCATCAATACGTCAAACACTGCATACACTGTCAGAAGTTCGCCCCGCTCATCCATAAACCTGGGGAGGAAATGACCATTATGAGTGCCCCATGCCCCTTCGCACAATGGGGAATCGACCTGGTGGGACCCTTTCCACAAACGGCTGGTCGAAAGAAATTCCTTATTGTTGCAATAGACTACTTCACCAAGTGGGTCGAAGCAGAAGCCCTATCGAAGATATCGGAGGACGAAGTAATGCAGTTCATATGGAAAAATGTTTGCTGCCATTTTGGCTTACCCCGGAGTATTGTGTTGGACAATGGCTCTCAATTCAACGGAAAGAAAATTCGAGCATGGTGCGAAGAAATGAAAATTACACAAAAATTCGCAGCAGTCGCGCATCCGCAAGCCAATGGACAAGTCGAATCCGTGTACCGTACCATTGTCAACGGCCTTAAAAAAAGGCTGGACGAACTGGGGGGAAGTTGGGTAGACGAGATACCTTCGGTCCTCTGGTCTTATCGGACAACCGCCAAAGCCGCTACTGGCGAAACGCCGTTTCGATTAACCTATGGGACCGAAGCGGTTATACCCGTCGAAGTGGCAATGGATACACTTCGCATAGCCGCATTTGACCAACAAAAGAACGATGACGCCCTCAGAACACAATTGAACGAAATTTTTGACTTGCGAGAGACTGTATATCTACATATGGAACGAAACAAGAATTTGATTAAAGCCCGGTATGATCAGGGAGTCCAGTCTCGTTCTTTCCAAATTGGTGATTTGGTCATTCGACGAGCTGATGCTCTGAAACACACGGGTAAGTTGGAAGCTAATTGGGAAGGACCATATGCAGTGACAAAGTGTTTGGCTGGCGGCGGATACGAACTGGCAGACATGGAGGGAAAAGCATTGCCGCGAGCATGGAATATAATTCACTTAAAGCGTTTCTTCGTGTAAAAAAAAAAAAAAAAAAAGGAGGCAGCACGCTTTGTAAGTAATTACCATCAATAAACATATCTTTTCGAGCTGGGCTAGGCCCCGTGGTTTTTTCTCTCCTTGTTTGGAGGGTTTCCACGTTAAAAAATATCCATGTCATTTACTTCCCATCAAACGAGTCGTTAAATCGAGGTGAATTAAGAATGAGTCATTAAATCGAGCTGAATTAAGAATGAGTCGTTAAATCGAGCTGAATTTAGAATGAGTCGTTAAATCGAGCTGAATTAAGAATGAGTCGAATTAGGAATGAGTCGTTAAATCGAGCTGAATTAAGAATAAGTCGTTAATCGAGCTGAATTAAGAATGAGTCGTTAAATCGAGCCAAATTGATAATAAGTTGAGAAATTAAGTTGGCCCAAAACGAGTCGTTAAATCGAGCTGAATTGACAATAAATTGAGAAATCAAGTTGACCCGAAACGAGTCGTTAAATCGAGATAAATTGAGATGCTATATTGGCATAAAACGAGTCGTTAAATCGAGTTGAATTGATAGTGAGCCAAGATATTATGTTGGCACGAGATGGGTCGTTAAATCGGGTTGATACAGATTAACTAGATACAAACTCAGGAATAAATCGCACCGGGTAACAAGTTAAAGTGCTTAAGCCGAAATAAACTATTAAACCGAGCTAAGTTCAGAACATGACATGATTTCCTAAAGGTCATGAGAAGTTCAAGGAAAGCCAAAGACCCTAGCAAGGTAACTTTTGGATTGGTTAAAGAAAATCTGATTCAAAGTAAAAACTCATTTCCACACATATATGAAAACACTAAAGCATATGAGTTTAAACGAACACAAGAGGTAAATCTTAAACAAGCAAACCTCCGAGGTATTGAAGCAAAACACGAAAATTATAACAAGGACAAAACATTGTTTGATACATGAGATAAAGGGAAAACTACGAATACATTGTCTAAAAGTACATAGTCAAAGCATAAACAGATGACCGGCTAGGTACTTTCATTCCTCGTTTCGGCGGGCTCCACTCTCGTGTCGTTAGGACCTTCGGCAGAAGGAAGGGGAGACGAGGCTGGGTTCGATTGTGATTCGTTGAGGTTGGTCACCGCCTCAACAGTCTCCACGTCCCCGACAAAGTCAGTGATGATCATCGACGATAACCCTTGCCGAGAAAAGTCCTCAACAAGATTGCAATAAACCTGCTTCCACCACTATAAGTCGGGGTCCTCATTTATGTCCCCCTCGAAACCCGGGATCTCGTCATCTGGAAGATGCTCAGCGAGCTCTGCCTCCGGTAGTGCGAACTCGATGACAGCCCCGCTCAATCTTTTCTGAGCAGCCTTAACAGCAGCAGAAAAGAAAAAACGAGCCAAGGCAGAAGCCTCGCGAGTAAAGGTCGTAGATCGCCACAGCCGGTGGAAGAACCGACGAACGAACTCCTGTGCGAAACGGAATCCTTCGGACGACCCGGGGAACAACTGGTGCCCCTCTTTCACCCCTTCAGTAAAGTTAGAAGATGCCTGAACTCCTGCAGCGAAGAGCTCATTCGTGAGTGTTTTCGCCTTT